CTTTTCAGTGTGCATTTTACTGTTGAAAATATTACTAGAACTTGCTTTGTTTCTCCTTAAAGTAATTATTTGCATGCATGATTGAAATGATTGAGGCATTTTATTGTTTTAACTAGTTAGCCAAAAAGCCAACCATTATGATATCCTTTGTTTAGCCCCTTGAGCTTAAGCCTTTTCTGTTCTTAATACCTGTCATCTTAATTAGCCACTCTACATACACGTCTACCTTAAATAAAATTGGATTATAGAAATTTCATGGTAGGGTGTAAACATGAGTACTTCGTCATGTAATTCAAAAGTGGTGAAAAATAAAATTAATTATTATTTATTGTTTCTATGCAAATAAAAGTGTTGAAAAATGAAAAGGAGAAAAGTATTGGAGGTTGGAAAAAGGAAAGAAAAATACAGAAAAAGAAATAAAAGTGCTGAAAAAGAAAAATGAGGAAGGAAAAGAGAAAAATGATTATTGTTTGAGTGTTTACACTTTACCATGATCTTTCTGTATTTTTTTTAGCTAGTTTTTCCTTATTTATCTTACCTTCAACTCAGCCCCATTACAACCTGAATAAAGACCTCTTGATCTTTGTGCGTGTGAATTAAGTATGGAAAGTGAGAATATTATCAAGCTTATGAAAATATTGATACAATGAAAATTTGAGTGAAACACTTACCCTTAGACAGATGAGTGATGAATGACTTGATATATCTAGTAAGGGATGTGTTAAAACTCAGTGTTTATGCTTGACTCACTGAACTCATATTTGGATTTTTTAACTTACTTACTTTCAAGTCTGCTTAGTTAATTGTTTGTTCTTAAAAATCCTATTATTTCTTGTCTAAGTCTGATCATTCGTAAATTGATGTATTGCCTAGTTTATATTAAGCATGCTTACATTATTCCATGTTTTTAATTCAATTCATTGCTGAGGACAGCAATGAGTAAATCTGGGAATGTTTTGATAAGTGTTCAAGACACTATGTTTTTATGGATAAAAAGAGTTCAAATAATTATTAAAATAGTTAAAAATATAGTGTTAAAACAATAAAACAGTAAAACAGAATGAATTGCCAACAAATAAACAAATTCTAAATATTTGTTGTTGTTTCAGGTTGTTAAGATTGGAATACTGGAATAACAAAGTAACAAAATGAGGCAACAAATACGCGGAGCAACGGGGAAATCAGAGATTAAATAATAAATAAAATAAAATTGGTAACGCTCGCTCCACTGCTCGCTAAAGCGATCAAGTGGGCGAGCAGCTCGCAAAGTTCTTAGCTAAAGCGAGCGAATGGGCGAGTATCTCGAAAAAGTCCTCGCACCAGCGAGTAAGGGAGCGACCAGTAACAAGTGCTCGCTGAGGAGCTCGTTGCTCGCAAAGTTCTTAGCTAAAGCGAGCGAATGGGCGAGTATCTCGAAAAAGTCCTCGCACCAGCGAGTAAGGGAGCGACCAGTAACAAGTGCTCGCTGAGTTGCTCGTTTCAGCGAGCTCCTCAGCGAGCGGATTCAGGAAATTATAGCCAATGTTTTCCATTTAAATACAACGCGAAGGAAGCCGTAAAAATTGATTCTGGAACGCGGAGAAAGAAGGCACTTGAGACGAAGCGAAGGAAGGAGCATAAGCGTAGCACTGGATCGTGGCAGAGGAGAAGGAAGGAGTCAACTCTGCACCATTGATCATCACTTTTAGACAAGTTTACCATGAACTCAGTTTCTTTTACAGTAGATTTTAATTCTGTCTTTATGAGTATGTTAGGCTAAATTACTTTCAGTAGTTAGGAAGATACAGAACCAATGGGTTCTTAGTTGATGTTTGTTTATTCTTATGAATTACATTCTTGTTTCTGAATTATGCAATCAATCGGATATATATGATTAGTTTTATTTATGACTTGATCACTCGTAGATAAACATACGAGTCACATATGACAATAGGGATGTTGGTATGTGATTCCGATTGGTTGATTGCTGGAATTTGCATGATCTAGGGATAGACTTGTGAATTTTATAACTTGAGTTCTTGCGTTAATGCTTATTCTATGAGAAAGTACTAAGGGATTAAGCTTTGGATTAGAGTAAAGGATTGGATTACCAAGGGATTGGAATTTAATCAATCATAGAAAGAATTGTTAATAATTTAATCGTGCATGTAATCGTGAGAATAGACAAACACGTTAAGAAACCATTGGGGAAGTTGAATCCTAACTACGCCTTTTTATTGAAAACTTAAATCAATTTCTTTTAGCTTTAATTAATTCTGAATTAAATTTCTAAAATATTAAAAACCAAAAATAAGTTTATAAATTCTGTTTTTACAATATTCTCAAGAAAACCTTTAATGATCGATCCAACTTTAATTAAATAAATAGATTATTGCTTGGTCATCAGTCCTCGTGGGATCGACAACTCAACTTTATCACTTTATTACTTGTACGACTGGTGCACTTGCCGAGTTGCATCAACATCCACACCCTCTGAGCCTTTTTCATTGAAAAACCTTATCAATTTAATCAAATTTTGTTTGAAAGTTGCACATGGATCCCTTACCACAAAGTAAGAGCGGTTGACTAAAATATGCTCAAGTTCGATGAAAGTCTTCCTCCCAAGAAACAGCTATAAGAAAACAAATGAAAAAACGGTGGTTCCAAAAGGAGGAGCTTTTCTTGATAAAGCAATGTGAAAAATGGGCCATGCAAACCCCCAAAAGTCCAACAAAGATTCTTCACGCAGGAAAGATAAGAGGGGCATAAGTAGTGTGATAAAGTTGTTTTCAAACTAAGACGGCTATTTACTTGACGTTGTGGGAGCTGGTAAAGATAGAAGTTTTTCACTAAAAAGTCATAGGTTTGTTTCATGCTGGCACTAACTTAATTTCATCGACAAGGAATTTAATAAATATTACTATAAGTTCCCGTTATATTAGGTGACATACCTAATTTTAAATAGGTAGTTTTCTTTTCCCCAAAACTCGCTTTAAAAAAAAAATGATTGTGTAATGTGCAGGTGGGATTTGGGTTATAATAGGAGACATTGTTTTAATATTATTACCAATAATTGAATGTACTCTCTCGTTCAGACTGTTAGAAAGGATTTCTTACAAGAATCTTCATGTAATATATAACACAATCGTTGACCCAATTCTATCTTTACCGACCAAATGATCATGAGAAATTTTAATCCTATTTTATTTGTTTCATAATAATGATCGAAATTTTAGGCCCGCCTCACATGGCAGGTGGTTTTTTTTGGGTTCTCTTCTTTTAATTAATGTACGACTCAAGAAGCTAGTCCGTTTTTCTCGCTCCCTCTCTTTGCGCCAACATCTCCAGAAGCTGTTTTGCTGAACATCAGTGTTTTCCCCGGACAGTTTGGGTACTACTTTGGACAAATCCACCCAATGTTATTAAATCCAGAGTCCACTGGGATGAGGCATCAGGTAAATGAATTATTAATTCCATCCGTGGATTACTAGTTGAATCGCTTAAATTGAATTTATATAAAAATATATAATAAACATATAAATTGAAATAATATAACAAAGTGATTTGACATAGTGATTAATATTTTACTTCCCTTTCCTTTCCTTAGGTGCAAAGTTTGAATCTCATAAATGTAATTGTGGTTGAATGTGTTGTCATAATTTTTAAAAATCAATCCAATTCTTGACAGGATTACATACATGATTAGTTAATTGATTGAACCAAACCGATTAATGATTCAGTTTTCAGTTTAATCGCCGACCGATCAAGTTGAGCCAATTTTAATAACACTGAATTCACCAGCTATATATGGTCAATTCCTTGGAAGATTAAGCTTTGATAAGATTATAAAGAAAGTGTGATAGTTTTGAAGGTACCATTTTTTGTCTTTATCTTCTAAGTGTCATCATTTATTTCTTGTGGAAACTTCGGATAAATGTAGGCCCAATTAACTGGACAAGTCCCGTTCTCAGGAGGGTGTGAATATGTGATAAGTTATATTTTGAGGTAGTGGTGGAGGTTATTGCTCCCCAACCCTCATATCCAAATGCATTGTTTACTTGTTAGGGCGAACCATTGCATTAATAAGAGGGTGCATGATAGTAACCTCTCACCGATGTTTTTAAAGGGGTGGAGAACTGAGAAGAAAAGGCAGCTAGCTCATGAAAATAACACAAATAAATTTTTTTATTTATTTTTTTTTAAATTTAGCTAAGCTAAATGGGCTTCATGATTATATCAGTTCAGGTAAATTATAGCTATTGACCCCATTAGCGTAATAATGTTCCAGCTAATTAGAAGTATCATGCAAGTTTATAACACCAAACTTGCCAGTGATTTCGTCATGGGTGAAAAAAACAATGATAGAATTATCCATGCCTTCTACTTACAGAGACATCTCGTTAAGCTAATTGTTAATGACCAATGTTTAGTTTGATTTAGCCTTTTCTTCATGTTTAATTTTTGAGACACATGCGGAAAGAAATATAATAATGAACAAGCAAGCAATAAAATAAAAAATGGAGTTCTAGCTAACCTTAAAAGTACAACAACAATGTGCCATTATGATTGTGTGCTTAGCTTTTCTACATCCCTTGCCAAACAAATGCATGATTGCTTATGGGCCACAGACATGTCATGCATACCAATAATCCAGAAGAACAAGTTAACTTGAAATCAATAGAATTAACAGAATGGATCAAAAAGTTAAGCTAGCTTTTTAGTGTCGAATGTCCCGTTGATGATAATGGGACAACCTTCCCAACAATTAGAACCGTTGCTCAACAGCTATCATACAGAATCATAAAGGTATGCAATGTAGAAATTAAACCACAAAGGGTTGATTAAAGGGGCAACATGGGAAATGAAGAAAATGCTAATATCAAAACAAAACACCAACGTGGGGTCCATTCTTAGGTGCTATAAATAACCAACGTTCTTCTACATGCTGAAGTCCCTCCCTCAAACACGCAAAAAGCACTTCACTACAACGAGCAGGAGAATCCTCACTCAAGTAAATAATAATGGTCGACGTAGACCGTAGAATGACCGGTCTAAATCCGGCTCACATAGCCGGTCTAAGGCGACTCTCTGCCCGAGCCGCGTCGGTTTCCGCCGCAACTGTACGTAACGGTCTTCTCTCATTCTCTCCTCTCGCCGATAAGGTTATAACCCATCTTCGCAACTCAGGAGTACCGGTTCAACCGGGTCTCTCCGATGCTGAGCTCGCTCGAACCGAGGCCGAGTTTGGGTTTGTTTTTCCGCCGGACCTCAGAGCCATTCTCGCCGCCGGTTTGCCTGTTGGTGCCGGATTTCCGGATTGGCGCGCCGCCGGAGCTCGGCTACACCTACGCGCGTGGCTGGACTTGCCTATCGCTGCGATTTCGTTACAAATCGCGAGGACCGCGCTTTGGGTTAGGTGCTGGGGCCCGAGACCCTCCGAACCCGGAAAGGCTTTGCGGGTCGCGAGGAACGCGCTTAAGAGGGCACCATTGTTGATTCCCATCTTTAACCATTGCTATGTTCCCTGCAACCCCTCTCTCGCCGGAAACCCTGTCTTCTTCGTCGACGAGAATCGGATATTCTGCTGCGGGTTGGACCTGATGGATTTTTTCCAGCGCGAGTCTCTGTTTCGGAGCTCCGAATTGGAATCGGATCCTGTTATTCTTAAGAAGCAGAGATCCGTCGCCGAGAAAAGCTCCGTTTGTTCCGCCGTTAATTTATCGCGACGGAGCCTCGACGCGGGAGGGAGGACGCCCAGGTGGGTGGAGTTCTGGAGCGACGCCGCCGTTGATCGCCGGAGGAGAATCTCGTCGGCGGAGGCGGCAGAGTCGCCGGAGAGGTTTTTCGACATTCGGCGGTGGGAGGTTCCGAAATGGGTGGAGCAGTACATAGGACAGATCGGGTCGGTTTTGAGGGAAGGTGGGTGGAGCGAATCGGATATATCCGAAATGGTAGAGGTTTCGGGTTCGGGTTTCTTCGAAGGGGATATGGTTTTGTTGGATAATCAGGCTGTGCTGGATGCTCTGCTCTTGAAAGCGGATAGGTTTTCGGACTCTCTCCGCAAATCCGGGTGGAGCTCCGAAGAGGTTTCGGATGCTTTAGGATTTGATTTTCGACTGGAGAAGGAACGAAGACCGCCTAAGAAGCTGTCCCCTGAACTGGTGGAAAGAATAGGGAAACTGGTGGAATCAGTTTCCCGGTCATGATATTTGGATTTGGATGCACATTTTCTTTTATTTACTTTATATATATCAGTTAAACAATTTTTATTTTTATTTTAAAAAAAAAAACTATTTGGGAAATTGCTTTGTAACAGAAACCAAGTGCACAAAATACATCACAGGTTTCTAAATTACATAATGTTTATGATGATCATCCTGACCTATATATTAGTATAAATAATAAAAATAGGTTTATGCACTTTTCTTTGTATATGTGTTTTATATTTTACTTGAATATATTTTCTTACTTCAATAAATAATAATGTATGAAAGGTTAGAAAGAAGAGTTAACCTGCCTTAGGCTCTGGTTTCTATGCACGTGTGTATGAGCATAATAATATAAAGAGATCTTTGTAATAGAAAGGTGAGCTTCCAATAATGGGAACATGGCGCTGCTGGTGTTGGACACAATAACATGATATGAATCCGGCATCCGGGGCCATGCCAGCAAATGAGAGAGATTATTGTTGTTTTGCTCACTATGAGATTGTGCATAAAATCATTTCAAAAATTATCTAGTTTTTAATGGGCGATTGGATTATAAAGGAATCCAAAATAGGTTTGCCTAGTCATTCCTTTTTCTTTTATTTATTGCCTTTCTCATGGCCTGGGAGAGGGAAATCTAATCAAAATGCTGTCCATGAAAGTGAAGGAGGGATTAAAAATAATGGCAATGTGTGGGGGAGGAAAAAGGTATCTTCTTTTAATGAGAAATAAGTGAAAATTGATAGAGACAGATACTAAAATATTTTTGAACTTTTGTTCTTGAAACTTTGGAATTCGAAAAAGGATGTGCACAGCATGTATGGGGTTCGCAGGCAGAGATACCAAACACAAACCTTTCTGGCGCGTTTAGCTTTTAAGAGACAAGGAGGATACATGTGTTTGTGTTGGGTTGAAAAAGATGTATGTATTTTGCATGAGGTATATGGATTTAGGTGGGAAAAGGGGTGGCCAGAGCCAAGTGTTTTAATTTCGAAGTGAAGTTTGTAAAGTACTGAGGAAGACATGGACCACGTGATTGGGCTGGGGGCAGCCCAACACTCTGTTCCGTATACCCACAGTTGGGGGAAGAAGGGCATTTCACGTTGCACACTTCTTTGTTGTTGTTACTTTAGTTTCTTTGCACCTTCTCCGAATTAATTTTCATGTTAGCCTAATTTGTTTGGTAATGAGAAATGAAGCTGATATTTTGTATATCTTTTTGGTTTGAAATTTTGTCTTATCTTGTTTTGTAAACATTTGTGGGAGCATCTAATCTATCGCAGGTGCTCATGTGATGGAGCGTGGGATTGGTACGGACAAAAGGGTGCATATGATTTGTTTTGCACCTTCAAATTTCAAAATTTGTGTATTTAATTACTTTTTGTGAGATGTGCCATTATAATTTGACTTACTATATTGTAGCTGACATATTATAAATGCATACACAATTTTTCAATAATTTAATGCAGAGAAATGAAATTTGAAATTTGGCACAAATCCTAATAATAGTATAAACTTTTTTTCTTAATCATTCGAAGAATCTAATAGTTCTAGACTAGAACTAGTTCCTTAAAAATAAGAATAGATTGTAATGATTAATCTAGTAAAAAGCTGTTAATATATTTGTGTGAATGTGAGGCAGATTCATCCGAATTTTATCTGCGGTGTGTTTAGATTAGAGTAGACAAAAATGTGATGGACCACATTCTTTGAGAGTGATAGCAGAAAAGCCAGGAGCACTCAAATAAATGCTATGTTGAAAGTGTCACTCCTGCAAATGCATGTCACAGCCACCTTCCTCAACCTAAACATGTTCATGTGATTTCACTCACACCGCCTCAACCTTATCCCTTCTCTCCACGTGCCTCACCTGCATTTAACTATTTATATACAGCATGTTTGGTATGGGATTTGCGATCTTCTATCAGTTTTGTCTTTTGGCTTCAAGGGTGTATTTGGAAGTTAATATTAAGAGGAAAAGAAAAGAAAATTGGAAGGTTTTGCTTATATTTTCTTCATATGAGTTTTAAAAAATGAAGGAAAAGAATAGGAGATTTTTGTAAAATCATCTAATATATTTCTCACCCTTGAAATTGGAGTCCCCAATTCAGAGGATCTGAGAGAAAAAATATAATAAAATACTTATGTGCTCTTACTCTTTTTCTCAAATTTTTTGATTTTCTCTTTTTCTTAAAATTATTTGAATTTTTTTTTTTGATAGCCTATTTGAATTTATTTGATAAAACTTTTTTTTTTGTTTCCAATTATATTATTTTGAGATAAGTGATTTATTTTTATATATGTGATTTATAATTTTTTAATAATTTTAGAGAGAAAAATAATTTTTTGTTGGGGGAATCATTTTTTAAATGTGAAAATAACATAAATAATTTTTTAAAAAATTTAAATTTAAATTTATTTTTAAAATATAATAATTATATCATATTTTAAAAAAAAGAGTAATATTGTAAAAACATCTAATTAACTTTTTATTTGCTCTCTTATTATAATTTTATCTCCCAAACAAAGAGAAAATAATACTTTTTATTTTTTTTCTCTTTCTTCCTCTTTATTGGAAGAGAAAACAACACGAGACCCAAACATCCGGGGAACCCACCCTTGGGGGTCCACCTGCACCTATATGTGCTGAAAAAATTTAATATACAACTGTTGCACTGAGTATTCAATTCATTGGCCATATTACAATTATATACTACGGGTAGTACATAGTTATAATAATAATAAAAAATTTCTTCTTCAAACATTGTCGACTGACATGGCGGAGAGAAAAAATAATTTTACCATTATAACTATATACTTCTCGTAATACATAGTTATAATAAATCGTTGCTCTGAATACTCAGTACAACCAGTGGCGGACCTAGAAAATTACATGAGGGGGGGGGGGAAAAATTTATATTATTATTATGAAAAGGTAATGTCAGTTTTGGTTGAATGATCACGCTAAGAATATAAAAATATCTATTGAGAAGAACCTAATAAAATTATAGAATGTTTTGTCAATTTTTTGGTTGGAATGTCAATTTTTTGTTTCCGGTGACATGATCCAATGCATCCTCTATTTCAATGAAGAACTAGCCTTAAACCCTATATTTTGTTTGTAAGATCAATTTTTTATTGTTTACCTTCATGCCTTCTGGTGTTATAATTGCACTTTCTTTGATTTCTTTAGAATTTTATTTTCTCCCTTAGCTATTATTTAGTAGAAGACACAGTAAATTTATTAATGTGTTATTTATTTTTAGCATTTGGTCCCAACTAATAATTGATAACTATTACTGACCTTTTTTCTTTGTCAACAAAGTCAAAACTTAAATACTCTTCTCCTGAGTTCTGACATGACAATATGTATAAATTTTTAATGATTATAAAAAGAAAATTAGATAATCAATCAATATAAAATCAAATTCTAGACAAATTTGACAGGTAAAGTGAATATGCATTACTAACTGAACTCTTCTTTGTATACAACGGAAAAGCCAACTTTCCACATTGATTGAGAATGGTAACAGACCAAGAACAAAACCTGTCATATATACTGACAGGTTGAATCTGGTAAATAATAGTTATCTCTAATTGGGTGCAATGAACGGGTGAAACAATTTTTTATGAATAACATTGCTTGTCTTTCACTTTTTAAAAGCACTTTTAAAATTTTGCTTTTTTAAATCATGTTGCATATCATATAGTAAAACATATTTTCATATTTTAGAGGAAGATGGAGGCCCACCTTAACCCCCCATGTAGGTCCGGCCCTAACTACAACGGTTGTACTTAAAATGCTCTCACACGTGCTACATCTACATGTCCCTCTATGTCAGTGATGTGGTGGAGGTGATATATATCTAGTTGTCTCTTTTATATATGTGTGGTGTAGAACGTCATATGTTCATAATGGTGACCGCTTAATTAATCTCATGGTTTGAACTTCGAACCTTGAAGGTCTCTTGCTCTTCGTTTTGTAGGCAAAGGGAGACAATATCAGTTCGGTTTGGACTTTAATAAGAATTAACAGCTTGTGACTGTATATACCTTGTTGATATTAAGGCAAGCTTGTCGATTTTTCAACTATATTGTCTGCTAGGTATGGTTTGGTGTTTTATGTGTCAACTTCTTAATTGTGCGTTACTGTAGGACCAGAATTAGGATCTATGCTCTTGACAATAATCCCTTTTGTCCTGCAGTAAGAACAACTTTAGCCCCCGTTAGCATGAATGTCGCATTTTATTTTATTTTTATTCTTTAAAGTGGTGTGGATAGTCATGGACACATGATATAAGTGATAACAAACATAAAACTCAAAAACCAAACCGGATGAAACTATATTTGATGTTGTTGAAGACAGATGAGATTTTGGGAAGAAAAACAGATAGGGATAGAGGTATTTTGGACAAAAATTTCCTTCCACAAAAGTATAGTGTCCCAAAGGGTAATTTAAGAATGTGAGATGAGAGCTTATAAACTCTTTCACCTTTTATTAATTATCTAATGTGAGACTTTTTAAAATTCACATACCTTTTCAACTACCCTCTTTTTTTTTTCCTTAACCCACTTCTTATTCATAACCCATAGAATTTGAATACAAATTCCAACAATTTTCAAATCGATTTAAGAACCGAAGTATTTGTTTCAAATCAGTAAAAATAATCAAACCACTTTTTAAAACCGCAATATAAAAAATGGAATCGAATCGTGCTCTCCCATAGAACTGAGAGCGCAATGAATATAGGCTTTCCCCGTAAGATTTTTATAAGGATTGAATTTGAGTTCTTCCCTCAAGAAATATAAGTCATTACCCCATTGAGACATACCACGTTGAGTTTTTTTTTTCCCTTTCTTTTTCTTTTCTATTGTTGTATACTACACAAATACACAATAGAAGGCAATTCCAAATACTTACTTTTACTGAAAAAAAAAAAAAAAGAGTCTCACATATGATAACAATCCTCGTCTACTGTCTATTTTCTTATTTCTTTTTCAACTTTAGGTATGGACTAATTCTCAATCAGACTTCTTACCTACTTTTGCTAGGTCTAGATAAAAACTCAACTTACCAATTCACTACACCTCATTTGCTGTCTAATTTGTATGTTTCAGTTCTTGTTGTTATAATACTCATTGTCATGAAGATGACCCTTACTTACGAGCTTCAACTTTCTAAAGGGACGGGTATGGAACGAAAGCACAACCCGCTAAGATATATTTGAAACGAAGGATTTTTGGGAGGGAGGTAAAAGGACCCTACTAAGGCAACTCCTTTAAAGAATTGCCCAATTAATGTTATGTGAATTTTTTTTTCCCAAACTAATGCAACTAAATGTATAGTCAATTGGTACGTGATTAGTCCCCCGCATTAACCAGTACGGGACACAGTGCCACGTCAGCACGATTCTAGTGCATCACTTTCCGCGGTCCCGTAAAAATATTTATTTACTAGTTTACGAATTATTAAGAATAAAAAATAAATTAAAAATTTAGATCATATAATGAATCTTTTAAATCATTCCTTGTTCATTTATATAAACAGCATATACTTTTTATTTTTATTTAGATGTGAAAACTTTAGCTGGCGTTTAATTAATTAATTAATTATTATTATTATTATTATTAGTTGATATGTTTTTGTTAATAATTATAAAAATATCATCTTATTTTCACATTGCTTCCTAATTGTAAGATATTGCGAATTCTTTGTAAATTCTTTTGAAGTGCATGAATATGTACAGTTGTAACCCTAAACAATGTTCTACAAATTTATATCTTAAGAGTCCGTGTATGTGTATAACATAATCAGATCCTGAATAAGTGGCACCGTTGTATAATACCCTGCCCTAAAAGAATGCAGATAGTGCTCTACCACTCCAAATTTGTGCTGTATAACTTTTCAATAACTTGCAAATTGTAACTAATCAGAATCACTCATACTTCCTGTAAAACTTTTGTCCCTTCCTTCTCAGAGACTCTTGGAGTGGATCTTGTCACCTTAACTCGAAATGAAACCTGCAAATAACTTGGATACTCAGTCACACATCATAAGAAATGCACCATTCAAAATTAACTTGCACTTAAGATATTATATGTAAGGTACAGGAACAGAAACATTCGTCTCAGATAAATGATAAGGAAAATGTCACTTGCACCTTTTTGGTGCACAACTGCACAAGCATTTCAATACAAGTATTTAATGAAATTTAGGGCATAGATTAAAAAATGCAAAATTGAGTGTGAGAGGAAGTGTTTAAGTGTATAATCAGGAAATGGTAAAATGAAATTTTAAAAAAATAATAATAATAATTCCAAGTTGGACTGAATGGTTGAATCTTTCTCAAACGTTGATCAGATGGTATGTCATAAACCTAATATAAGTTATAAAAGATGCAAATGTCTAAAATGAATGCTGTAACTACTTTTTAGGACGTCTGAGGGATAGTCTATCACCTTCCCAGAACCAAACTCAACAACATCAGATGGGTGGATTTGAGCAGGATAATTCGGAGGTACACGGTACCGCCTTCCTTCAATGCTGAAAACATAATGAGAATGATGTTAAATACATTTGTCAAGAATTTAAAACTTAAAAATCTAGTTATCTTCCATTTCTTTTTCTTACTCAATAATCCAGGTGCCATGTTGACTCCGCAAATCAGTTAAGAAGAAGGCGCCATCCTTATAGTTAATTCGAGCATGCATTTGAGAAACCTTAAAAAGAGAAATTATTAATTATGTTGCATGATGTTGAAGAACATTAAGTGTGGAACCATGTTTAATTCAGGTCATGATAAATTTTGTTACCTGGGGTGAAGGTACTGTAACTGAACTGCCTGGATAATCTTCTTGCAGTGCACTCCTGCAATAACAAAGGCAGAGAAAATTTGATATGTTTATGATTATTGAGATTGGAACAATGCACATTAATTGGTGACCAAAAGTAAAATCATTGTTCATTTTTCAAAAGGCACATCCAAAATCTGTTATCGTCAACCAATTGAATATATGTAAATTATAAATGCTTTCACGACACTTTACTCTTTATTCCAGGATCTATTGCATAATAGGTACAATTTAAGAACTATTATGTCACTACATTGTAGGTAGGTGCAACTGTAGGCATACCCGATTATGCAGGGTTTCATCTCATTTCGACTTAAACATATAGGTTCTGAAAGACCTGTTTCATCCCCACATGGTAACAAAATCCACCTATAATTCAAACAAGGTTGGACATAAAAGTTATGTTATCTACATATACAATATGTAAAGGGTGATACTCATGCATATTTGGTTAGGGACATACTCTCCATTAGTAGCGCGCTCAAGTGCATCATCATCTTCAAACCATCTGCGCAACTGGTTGTTTGCCTTCATAAATAATTCAATGCCTATTAGCATCGAGATCAGAACAATCTAATAGATATGACCATATAAATTACCAGATACAATTTCTTCTCAGCAACAAAGTACAAAAGTAACTATATTTGAGCAACCTACTTTGTCTGAGAGCCTGCAACTTAGTGGTCTACCTTCAAGTTTGGAGCTGCAAAAGTAGCACCATTCTTCATTTTGTAAGTAATCAAATCGCACAATTTTATGTTTGATTATGCAAAATATTTCTCTATCTTAACGCAGCAACTAAAAACTGAACATTGTTTTCAATATTATCAGTTACTTAAACATCTCATCATTTTTTAAGTCATTCATTGGCTCAGATTTCTAACAAGCATGTTGAATGAGAGGACTCAAGTAAGAAGAACTCCAGTGTATATCAATTTCTAAAATTGATGATGAAAGTCTTAGAGCAAAGGCAATTGGGCTCTCATGATTACCTATTGCCACCTAAGACCCAGTCCAACATAACAGGCATCATCATGTCAACGAAAAACCTTCCTCCAACTCTTCCAGGATGTGGTATACGAAACATTGTCAAAAACTGCAGTGGAAGGAAAGCAATGAATTTGTGGCACATAGTGTCAACTTCATTATATTCTTCATTCTCTTAATTGTAAAATTTAAGTTCCTACCTCTAAAGGGCCAAGACCAACACCTAGATATGCCTTGTATGTAGAAGCCATAAGAGCTGCCATTCTAGCCATTCCATGAATAATGGCAACTCGTAATCTTCTTTCTCTCTCGTAGCTGAAAGCATTAATGGGAAAGGGAAGGGGGGGAGACAGGCCTCATCAGTCACCAAAGAGATTTATAATCAAATTCAATCAAATTGAAAATGATGAAAGATTAATTACTGGACCATGGTTGATATGTGAAACCATCTCTCTATTCGAATCAAGTCAACAAAATCATCGTTTCAGTATTGTGCATATTTGAAGAACAAATGGAAGGTTACCTTCTTAGGGTAGAATCAATTTCAATCGGATACCCTGATTTAATACTTTGTTCCCATGCTTTGTCCAACTCCCATGCAAGTTGATAACTGTCCTGTAATGATAAAATAAGCTAGTTAGAAAATAAAAGGTGAGATAGCCTGACTTTGTTATGTCTATTAGGTCTGAATATGTAGGAAATTGCGGAAACTAATCGAAGAAAAATAATAACTTCATATTTCACTGAAAAGGGATGAATAGACAAAATACCAGATAAAAAAAAAGTATATATACCTCAATAGCCATGCAACCTCCTTGGCCCATATTTGGCTGCATGGCATGGATAGAATCACCGAGCAAAGTCACACGACCCTTTCCCCATTTCAATGTTGGTATCCTGTCATATATGTCTCGTCGCAGAACTGCTTCTTCTTCTGTAGCAAGTACTAGATCTACTGCATTATCACACCAGCCCTCAAATAACCTAAGCAACCTTTCCTTTTTTCCTGCCATGCAAAAAGTAAGAAATTAAGTATGATGATTTTTCCTCACAATAAAGTATGAAAAATAAATACATACTTCTATTAGTATTTTTTCAAGGTTATCCAATTTCTATTTCCAATGCGAAAATTACTGTAGTAGAACCCGGTCAATCTGATTAGCAATCTTCATTTTGATACCCGGTTGATAGAAAGTTAGAATCCATTCTATTGCATATCAAGAAAGATGAAGTAAGGATTCAGTGATGGAAGAAGAAAGAGTCTAATATAGAATGGATGTGAGTCGCATTAAGGTGCATCTATGTAGTTTAACAAAATGCAATTAATAGATAATCTCAAATAAGTGTTGGGTTAAGCATGCATCCTTAAACTTTGAGAAGATGCCAAGAGCAGCTATCTCTTCCTTTTTATCCCCTTTTACATACACAACCCCACTAATAGTTCACTATTTGTTGCAACTAGTGACAGCACAGTTAATAATCTGTGATCCTCGGCATACAAATTAACTTAAGCTCAAAACATCAAACAAAATAATCAATGTGTCATCACCATAATAGTTGAAAATTCAATCCAGGTATAATCATTTCCTTCATCTTCAATATATTCAAAGACAGCATTGGTTATCTAGATGCCAGGATAAATAATTCAAAATGTCTATAAATATATCATAAAGAAAATTTAACATTTAAAGAGGCTGTGCATCTAACAGGCGTCAACTCTCAAACACATTAAGAATGCATACCATTGGGGCTATCAACACCACCAGCAGGTTCTTTGTGAAATGCATACCACTGCATCTTTCCAGCTCCAACATCTGAAGATACGAAGTATTGCTTGTGTCCCAAGAATACTCGGTACCTACCAGCAGAGAAGTTAAAGTAAGCTTCTCAACATGATATAAGTAATATTAACAAAAATGTAAATACAGGCCAAAGAAAATGGATGAGTAGGGATACAATACATGACTAATGACCAACGTACCCAACGGTTTCAATGTCAGCAGGCACAAAATCTGCAATACCAGTATAACAAGTATAGCCAGAGTAAACAGCTTCTGTTGGCCCAAATAACTGTTTTCGCACCTATTTACAAAACAATACAATAAGATTAAGAGAAGAATTTATGATTATATAGGCTGCCTACAAACAGAATGACAGAAAGAGTTCATCACTTCACAATGGAAGAACAAGTCTAACACACACATGCATTCCACTCCGTGTACTTGTATATGGATGAAATTATTTGCTAAAGAATAGGATCAGAACCAAGGAAAAAATTAATAAGACCTTGGACCATATACCATCTGCCCCAACCAAGAGATCTCCTTCATATTTCTGACCATTCTCGAGCTCTACTGTTACCTGAAATTGTGGAATGCTGGATGAGAAGAGTAGTAATTGTCAATCAAATGATATTTAATCACATTAGTCTGCCAATGCTTATTCAAGAAGAAAGAAACAAAAGCTTCAGAAAATACATATAAAAATTGACAGCAATATGAGGAGAATCTTCAACATTAAAGCTTTCTCTATTTACTTTGTTTCCGTCATCCACAAAATTAACAACATTACTGGCATTCATAATGACATCTTCCCCCACAGCACGAGCAAGAATCCCTTGTAAAGCCATTCGACTAATAACTCTCGTGACCGGAAGCCCACGTTCCACTGCAGGAGTGAATGTATCAAACTTGACATACCTGATAACCAGCTATATATCAATTCATGGTACCAAATGCTAAAATTGCGTAAAGAAAATTGCAGAAAACATCTTTTTTGTAACTTTGATATTAAGGAAACAAGATTGTTGTTTGAGAATGAAATGCTGATTTACTTTAACAGAACTCCCATTTGCATATTTGCTAGAAGTAATAATTTTTTTAGTTCTACAATAGCCTATTGAGCCCTTTTTGTACTCACTAAGAGTAAATTATAACTCATCCAGTACTGCTCTTAGGTAGTCACAACTGCATTAAACCCTGAATTCTTTCAAACAGTATTAATTAAATTCTTTATGGGAAATTTGTTGCAAATAAAACAGAAAATACATATTAACTCAGATTCTTTCAATGTTTTATAGAGCTAAAGAGTATCCTCAATCAAGAATCGACTTTTTTTTTAATCAATCTCATTAGCAAACAGGAAGTAACTAGATTTTTAACTAGGACCATTAACACAAACATTGCTAAACATCAGAATTTACATTACATTGGAACTTCTGTCTAAGCCAACTATTCATCTGCGGCAGTTAGAATTCAAGGTTTCGTTTTTACCAGAAGCTTCCAACCAAACAAGAGGACACTATCAACTATCAAGCCATGCCAATCAATTATGGCAAACCCAGTACTAAAAATGGATACGGTTGCCATGAACATGCTACATAGTTGAAACTAATTAATTAGTTCTTAAGGGTCTAAAACCCCATGGTAAATAAAACCTTAAACGCAAGTTCTTTTCCACTTTAAGGCCTCAACATATATTAAACCAGTCAGTGAGAGTATCCCATGCCTATAGAGAGAACAAAGGTGAAAAGAAAGACACTAAATCATATATGTTAATAACTTTTAACTTACCAAGAACCAGAAACTCCATCCACAAGTCCATTGATTCTATCACCAGTGACGCAACCAACTCTCATAACCTCCTCAGCAACCTCTGAATCTATAGCCTCCAAAGCAGCCAATGCATTGCTTTGTACCTGAATTGGACCCCTATACTGTCCCTCCCCTCTTATAGCACTCAGGTCCTTCTCAAACACCATTACCTCAAAGCCTTTTCTCTTAGCAGCCAAAGCAAAAACCAAGCCACCTATCCCTCCACCCGCCACAAGTACCCGAAGCTTCTTCTTCTGAGAGGTTCCATTCACAGCTTGCGATGAGGGTGGAGCCTCAGCAACTGCAGCTTTGACATGCATCACTCTCTTCCTCTGCTTCATTGTTCTGCTTCCCAGGTGATGATAGCCATAGCTAACAAAAGGTGAAATATCCAGTGAAAGCTCTTTATTCAAGGGAACTGAGAAGTGGGTTCTCGAGAAAGCTGTTGTTGAGGGATTAAGAGAGTTGTAACACAAGGTAGAGGCCATTGTAGCACTAGCAGAAAGCTTAGGAACCAACACAAGCGTAAATATGCATTAATAAAATATAGTTATAAATAACATTAGAGGTTGAGGCAATGCATGGCAATGGCAATAATAATATCTAATAAGGAATTAGTGGTTCGTAGTTGAAGACCACAAAAATATCAGCATAGAGAAAGAAGAGGTCAAACTATGCATTAGTATATTCGATAATGATCATGGGGTGAACCGAGTGGCTGCTAGTGCTTGGTGACTGTGACAACAGACACATTTTTTTCTTTTTTTTTACCTTAATTGTGGTCATGGATCCTAGGTGGTTACATGTTATAAGTTCGTCCACGTATGGATAATCTTATACAGGATTCAAACCCACCGCAATATCAAAATATCAATTTTCATTGGCTTGTGCTATTTTCCTATATGGATAAGGACGTTTAATCCTTTAGTCTGCCTTTCATTTCTTATTTCTTATTTTTTATTTTTTTGTGTGGAAATCCATTACTTTGTTACTATTCAACTATGTATTTTTGTTTAACTGACATAATAGATATAATATTTAAATAAGCAATTGGTCTAGTACAAAAAAAAAAAGCAATTGATCATTATAATTTTACCCAATTTGAATTTTAGTCACTGTTGTTTTATTTATTACAATTTTGGTCTCTATCACCAACCGAGAGTTATTAATTTAATTTATAACATTCAATATAAAATTAATGAAGTGGATTTAAATAACTCCATATTTTATTATACATACTATGTAAAACGTAAATTCAATAAAAAAATTAAATTATTAGGTGAGGGAGTTCAGGTTAATGATTTTATATTTTTTTTAAATGTCCTTCACACGAGAGTTTATTGAGTTCGAAGAATGAATAATGCATCAGAACCTATTTATTTATGTTAAAAAAATTTCATAATATTTAATTATTTTTATTAATAGAATAAAGACGATGAGGATTGAAGTGGTAATTACTTAATCACCTCACAATTTAAGCTAGATTGAAAGTTGTGAATGAGTGATTGAAAGATGGGTCTCGTATTGATGCACTGAGTGAAGGTTTGGGTCGCTGGTATGTGATGACCACCATCTGGTGGGGGACAGATCCAGAACGGTCCTTATCCTTGGGCCTGGCCCGCTGGAGCCCGGGAACTGGGCTTTCATCTTTTGTTATTATACATGTACAAAAAATTAATTAACTTGGAGTGAAATACCTTAGTTGTATAGGTAGAGGTGACAAGGTGAGCGGTCCCCCCTGTTCCGCCATCAATTCATCAAAAAATGAGTCAGTTTGTCCCGCTCTGCTTTTGAAATTGGACTGAAAAACTCGACCCACCTCGTCCCATTTTGTGAGTTGGGCTTGGCCCACCAGCCCAAACTTATTTTATACTGACCCGTCTCGGCTCACCTATACCCGCTAAAAAATAAGTCCACTCTGTTCCGCTGCACTTTTGAGATTGCTTGAATAACTCAGCTCATCCTGCCAAATCGAGCCCGCTTTGCCAGCTCTACTTGTAGAATAATTGGTTTTTGCCTGGTTTTATTGGCAAGGATTATAATGTAATTGGCCCGCAAAGATTGAGTGGTGCATACTACATGCGAGGCTTAGTGGGATAGATAAAGCCCATTCATTATCTGAGCAGTTCCCTAGGCCTAGAGAATAACAACGTAAAAGGGGATGAAGATAGGCTTCTCCGAGTGAGTTGGATTTAGAGGTGTAAATGGACTATGTCGGCCTATGGCCTAACTTATATTAAGTTAGATTTGACCTGTTATAAATAGTAAAATAGAACAAGTTTAGACTTTTAAAAATACCTATTTAGAAAATAGGCCACATGTCTTTTTGTAAATGTCTGGCCTACAGACAAGCCTATCTCATATTATTTATTTAAAATATAATAAATAAAATTATTATTTTAATAATTTTGATAATAAAATAAGATTATTTTAGTTATTATTTTAATTGTTGAATGTTTAATAGGCTTAAACAGTCTAGCAGGCTTAGGTCAAGGCTTTTATTTCTTAAATATAGGTCAGGCTGGACTTGTAATTTGGGGCCTACATAGGCCAATAGGTCAGGTCATACCCAATATTTTTTACACAGACCTGACCTATTTAAGCCAAAGTCTAGCACAGCCTAGTCCATTTACACCCTTAGTTGGACCCTCTTCGTTATGGACACTGTGAAATAGGCCGGGTTATGTTTTTAAACCGTATGCAAACCGGATCTTCACGTCAGTTTTTTTTTTTTTTTTTGGTAAAAAATCCTCACGTTAGTTCTTTTTGTTATAGATTGGAACTTTTTATTTCAAATACTTTTCATAAAAATATCCTTCTCTCCATCTACAAATTTGTAACACCAAATTTATCATACTTAATTATAAAGAATTCTTTTATTATAAACTTTTTTTAAAAAAAAAGCAAGTAATGATATATTTATATTTTAATTTTAATGAGTTAAAATTATGATCCAATTTAAATTAAAGATAAATTTACATTTACTCATTTTAGAAGGACCTTAAAGTAGAAGACAACCAATATAACCGTTCATCTAGTTGAATGCCTATGCAACAACACCTTAAACACCGCCCAATTTATCTTGTGAAAATTGAAAGGAAGAAAAAAATTAAAGTCAATTTAATTAAAAAATATACAAATTGTTGCTGATAGCCTGCCTTTTGCCTAGCTAGTCTAAATAACGATTTGCAAGGTCACCACCATTTAGTGTGTGAAAGTACACATGTCTTCTCATATTTTTCACGACATATGACCTTTACACCTCAGAAGTCATGTGGCCTCACACCATAATAGGATTCGTGGGGTTAAAAAATAATTATGACATCACTCTTTACATGCTAAGAGGAAATCTCCTCCACCCTATATATAAAGACCTTTGTGTGGCCTCAAATTCATCTTCTTTGTTGCATATCATTATTGTTACTATGCCAAAATCACTCCACAACCATAAATATAATCGAGCCCAGAAACACCTCCCATTTTCTCCCTTAGCTAGTCTGAATACAGTACTCCATCATATTAATAATATTTAGTATTTACCCTTCCTAAATACGTATCTCCATTCTCATTCTCTAACAAGTTCACAAATATATATATATATTCACAAATATATATATATATATATATATATATATATATATATATATATATATATAGGGCAGGATATTCTTACACCGGAGTAAGAGTTAGAAGTCTTACACTCAATCTTGATCATTGATCCACTTGTATTTAATGGCTCACATTACTAGAAAATTTGAGCCCTAAGATATAAGTGAGATCAACGGACAAGATTGAAAGTGTACTTACACTGGTGTAAAATGATCCTGACCCTATATATATATATATATATATATATATATATATATATATATGAGATTTATATTTCTGCAGTTGATGTACGTGCAGCAATCAAATACTTGCCGGAAAATTATAATCATACAAAGGATGAAAATATTAAATGTGGGGAATCATAATCATACATCTGTCATTATTGTACGTAAAACGACTGTAGGAATGATTTTATCTATATATATATTAAGGGGAAAACATTTCTACAGCCACTTTAGATAAGGTTGTCTACAGTTATCTCTTTTTAACTAAGTACGACCGGTCGTACATTAAAAGTGCATTTTTTCTCTCCGCCACGTCAGCCGATAGTGTCTGAGGAGAGAAAAAAAAGAACAACTTTATTTTTATAACTAAGTACGACCTTAAAAAGAATAGTTATAAATAACTTTATCTAAAGTGACTGTAAAAATATTTTTCCACGTATTAAAGTCATAAACTTCTTAAAATAAAATTAAGAGTGAATAAACTTCTAAACAAGTTTGCTCTTGTTCATTATTTCTTTTCGTCAACCATGTCTTAACCTGCGGCCCACTGCATGTGAGTGGCATTTGGATTTACGCAAGACATGACGAGTGCAGGATGGGTTTCTTGGAAGTCTACACACACAATGTCTCACCGCTCATGTCCACGTCCTGTTCCTTCTCAGTTCTCAAACCGCCTTTCTCACACTCATTATTATTCCAACCTCAATGAATGCTACGTGTCCTAAAAAATTAGTTTATTCACTGGGGTTGGACTAACGTGACATGTCTCCCAATATAACATGTCCAGATTCTTGTAACAACGATAGGTGAAACTATACCATTCTCAGCAGTAAAATTAGAAGTTGCTGATTTCTGGTTTCTAGTTTCTACTTTTGTTGTCATATATTTAACGCACAACTCATCTTTTTCTCAACCTCTTTTGCTTTGGTGTAACCTTATCAAGTGCTCCAGTCATGCGGCATGACTGGTCAAAATCTAACATTGTTTCTTTTTGGGTACAACGAATCTAATTAGATTTACGTACTCCGAGATATCAACCTCACATAAAAGTAGAAACAAAGAAGATAGATAATAAGATTGACAACATTGTTAAAGGGTCGGGCTCTGATGATTGATAAAGTCCTGTATTCGATTCTTATGAGTGAAAATCTTTTCGCTCCAAGACACGAAAAATTTAGTCTCGTCTTACGAGATGAGACTAAATAGATAAGCCAAAACATGTTCAGGTTCCCATTTTCATAGTAGGACTAATTCCTGCTTGGGTTGGAAACCAAATGGAAATCCCAAACTCAATGAGTGTCATGAACAGGAGCTCTTCTTCATCCCAGAACAACGTGGGTTCTTTCCCAAGTCCAGGGGTACCAAATTATAGAGATAGAAGAAGTTTTGGGAACCAAAAGGGGTGGAGCTCAGAGCGAGTAACAAAGCCTGCAAGCAGCAGAAGGCACACTATGGCTGGCTTGACACCGTTCAGTAGTGGAAGAACAATGCCTTCTAAATGGGATGAAGCTGAGAGGTGGATTTGTAGCCCAGTTTTATCATATGCTGATAGCAGAAGTTCACATGCACAACTTCAGCGTAGACACAAATCAATGAGTGGCCCGATTGTGTCTCCTGCTGTAGCTTACTACTCAAACTATTCACCTGCAGTTCTTCCACTGCGCCAAGGTTTGGTTTTGAGAAACTTAATGGTGGGTTCACCTTTCTCAACAGGAGTGTTGGCACCGATTGCTGTTTCTGTTCCCCATTATAATGCACATGATGATACTGTTTTTGGTTATGACATTGAAAATGGAATACAATATTCTAGTCCTGTGCTCAATGAGAATGGTGTAGCGCATTCATCAATGTCCACTGCAACCACGTGTTCTGAATTGCCGTGTGACCCATCATCTCCTATCTCTAAAGGTAATATATTATGGTGCCCATATTTGCAGGCATATATATATATATATATATATATATATATATATGATGCTGTGTATGCAATCAAATTGATTAGAATAAGCACAAACTGTTTCTGACATGTGATAGTCAGTGTGAGTAACTAGATTTCAGGGGATAATTAATGCAAAATGTGTTATATTCAGATCACCATCGGCCAACAAGACAAATCCATTTTTTATAAAAGAAAGAATTTTATGAAGTATGTGCGTTATTTTATCATTCTCTAATTCAATTTGCCAACAGAAGTTTGGTCTTGGGTTATCTTGAACTAGGAGAAGGTAACTTCGAAGAAGGTTTTTTTATTTACTTATTTTTATCACTAGGATGAGGAGGTCATCACGGCTTCTGCTCCATAATCTACACACTGTTATGTGTTGACGTCTGAGAATCTAATTGTTTAAAACGATTGTGTAATTTTAATTCACAGATGTGAAACATGATGGAAAGAAGAACGAAGACACCGTGATATCTCTTTTATCAAGATGTGATAAAGGTACCCAAATGAGCCCTTCAGAGACCGAGACTGATGCACATTCATCTCCAAAATCTTCAGCCACTTCGGTCATGGATCAACAAGATTGTCATTCTCCAAAATTAGAGGTCAAAGATGTGCAGGTTGACAATCAAGCAAATGTTATCAGGTGGTCCAAGAGGAATGCAACCAAAATGACCAAAAAAGACGGGTTTAACAGGGAAGACTTAAGAGGGAATACTGCAGAAGCCCAAGCTTCATGTTGGGATATTGAAGAGTCAACCTCCGATAGTTCCAAGTATATTACGAAAATACTAAACACCATTTCATTAATACCAAGATATTTGAGTCTCTCCAATATTCATTCAGACAGCACAGGACCTATAATGTCATTGTTTTACTTATGCATTTATTCATGAACTTCTGTTTTTGGCTCAGGTTGCGGAGAGAGGAAGCCAAAATCATTGCATGGGAGAATTTGCAGAAAGCAAAGGCTGAAGCTGCAATACGGAAGCTTGAGGTTATCTTTTATTCATCACAATTTGTATGTTGTACTTCATACCATGTGTGTGTCGATTCTAACAAAAATTGGTATTCATTTCTCATGGTTAAAACATTTTATTACATTCATTATAGTTGGTTTCATTACCTGTTTTTCAGTAAATTGATATACTGCAGCATAGTACAGCTCAGGAAATATATGCAGAAAGTGTAAATAACTAAAGCTGGGGCAATCTTAATCTCTTTCCTGACCATGATAATGTTGTGACAGATGAAATTGGAAAAGAAGAGATCGTCATCAATGGATAAGATTCTAAACAAGCTGAGAAGGGCACAGTTGAAAGCTGAAAATATGAGAAGCTCAATACCAGTACAACAGGGCCATCAGGTTTCAAAGACTTGCAAAGTATTTACATTCCCCAAATATGCCCAGATATGGTCTCCGAGCAGCTGCTTCAGCAGCCAAGCTCAGTGATCGATCCCACGTACTAGCCATGAAGTCTTTTAAGGTTTTGATCAGGTTGTATAAGAATATACTACAGTATCTTATATGTCATTTGATGTAATTGGGTTGTGATAGGAAACCTTATTTGTAAGTAGGTATGTGTTACTTGTATATAAAGCACAATGGTTAATTGGAGCGAACTTTCCATTTTTTCTTCTCTCAGTAATTCTCAGTTTCTCATTTCTTTTTATGAATAAGAATATTGTTGGGGACACACGAGTATTCACAGATGGTGGTTGGGACACACTACACGAGTCCAATGTCAACATCGTGCTCCTTCCATGGACAGAAGCGTACATTTAGCTACCGTCAACGAGTTTTCTATAAAAAAAAAAATTTAAAAAAAATAGCCTTTATGGTATTTAAGATGAAAAGGTTAATAGAACAAAAAATATCCATTGCGATACTAGAATAAATTAAGACAGATCAATCTTTGATTCTTTTCATTTGGGTTGATCGATCCCGAACCCAATAAAATTTTGATGTTGATATAACTTCAAAGATTTACAAGAAACGGCGGTTTATTTTCATCATCTGTACTAAAACTGGACACAAGATCAAACGTTCAGGAAAAATAAGTATTTGTCTGGTTTACAAAAGATTAAGTAAAATACAATTCATAGTGCTGAAAACAAATTAAAATCATTCTTAACAGAAGACCTGCACATCAGCTCCTGGCAACCATACTAGTATTTGGAATGCAATGTCGCCAATAAAACCGTGATCTCCTAGTATGGTCTATACCTCCAATCTGCCCTTGATGGTCTCCCACTGGGAATTCCATAACCCCACTGAAAAAGAAAATAATGTATAATCAAAAGCTTGCATGCAGCCCGATTCATATAGCAGATAATTAACTTACACTATGAGCAAGAAAGGAAACAACACTTAAGGGCCTAAATTCCAAAAAGTAATGATATAGGAAAATTCTTGACAAGTTATCTATTTTGTCATTTCTTATACATAATTAGTTATAAAATCAATAATAATGTTTTTACTCTGTAGTCTATACTCACATCATCAAAGTCTAGGCTACCATACATCCTCCCATAAGTTCGAACAGGACCGCCAAATCCCCCAAAAGAATCCATGCTATTCAACATAAAATTCCCACTGGGCCCTGCATCATCAAGAGGTGTGGCTGAATCTATGGCCACCTGCAGGAGCAAGTTGTTAAGAAATAAGATCATATATAAATCCAATACATAATATTTATACTTGTAGTGAAGTATATGATACAGAGAATACATGGTAACTCAAGTTTCAGAAGAATGAATTTGTGCAACTTTATGTACACATGTAAGCGTAATAAAGGGAATCACCAATGGAGTTCATCTTGACATTTACATTATATTATGTCGTAAGGAATCTGCATTTTCAGGAAGCATATAGGTCTACTGTACAGGTCTGTTGTGAATCTTGTGATTCAATGTATACTCATGTACTATCACAGATCTCTATTGGTCGTAACAGAACTCAATTGAAGGTGCCAACTGTTATTTCAATAATATCATGCTTTCAACAGAAAAGGGCATTCTAAAATGGGGGAGGGGTAACTCCTAAATACATCTATTTCTACCGCCACATCAAACATTGAAATTTCAACATCATTTCCAAACTAAAAAGGACAAACGAATGCTTGGTAATGCACAATAACAGAACATCCAAATTGAAATACCTGATGTCCGCATATCTCATGAGACCTTCGAGAGACACGATCTGCCACACCATCTTCAGCAAAAGTCACAAACCCAAATCCTCTATGACCTGATCTCTTAGCATCCTAAATCAAAATAGACAGGCGAGTTAGTCAGATTTCAACACTCATATTCATTTTATTTAATATCTTACCCTGGGAACATAAACATCTAATATACGACCAAATCTTCCAAAATACTGGCGAAGATCTTCACTGGTTGCCTCCTGGGGAAGACGACCAACAAAAATCTTTTTGCCCATTCCACGAGCAGGTTCTCCCCCTAATTTAATGTAGTCAGTATGCAGCACCATTAATAATTAATAATTTTTAATTTATCAGTGTTTCCATGCTTACTTCCATAAATTGAACCAGGATGGTCATACAAAGTAGGAGCACCAAGTGCTGCATATCTAGTTGTTGCAGAAATATATGCATTGTATGCACCATATCCTCCGTGTGACATTCTGCCAATTGGCTTGAAGTCATCTTCCTGCCAAAATGGCATAACATCTTAACAGAAGTAATAGGAAAAAGCATGTGTAATCATATATCTTTCTATCACCAAACAAATACTTTATGTAAATTGAAAACGGATGGTGGGGAACAAGTAGTACGATTCACCTTGTTAAGAGATATAATAAAAACCATTCATGAGCTTTTACACAATAGCTTAAGCTTTTGGGAGAATTAGTTGTGTGACATGGTATCAAAGTCTATGACCAAGTGATCTAGAGTTTGATCCTTGTTGCTTCCATTATTCTAATAAAAAAAAGTTGAATTTAAGCACAAGGTAACCAAACAAATAAAAATTGACCTCGTACATTATCCATGCTTCAAAGCCCAAAGGATTCTCACGTGAGAGGGCATGTTAAGAGATATAATAAAAATCATTCATGTGCCTTCACCCAATAGTTTAAACTTTTGGGAGAATTGATTGCGTAACACACCTAATAACAAAGCTTGATTACAAATGGTGCACAACTCTGCAGTGCACCAGACCAATAGAAACTGACAGTTGCTTTGGCATTTTAAGAGTTTTTATCCCACCATGCAGTATCTGTCATATGATTGTACTATTCCTATTGGTCTGGGCAAGGGTGGAAACCGAATCACATTCACAGCACTTCTAATACTGTTATCCTATAACGGTTACTCTAAAGCTAAGCAAATTTTAATAGCCTAAGCATATGTAAATTACCCCTTCAAAAGATAAATAAACAAATAATCAACAATCAAAACTATAGTATAATGCTTACAAGCAAGACAGAAAATAAAGATAAAATGAATGAAAGATTTACAAGTCAAAAAATAAAAATAGGTCAAGACCAAAGACTTAATTTTAAAAATTTACAGGATTGGCAAAAAGGAAGTCAAGAACTAAAATAAATATTTATAAACTCAGGAGCAAATAAAGATAACAATTTAACAGAACATATTTACAGTTTTGGCTTGCCTTTTGTACCTAAGTATTCCCTCGTGCAATGGGAAGTCAAAGCCATGTAGTTCTTTGAAAATATTTGTGGGTTTGTTAATTTTAATAAATTTCCAGGCCAACAAGTTGTCACAACTCAGCTAACCTAAAGCAAGGATAATTTTATTTTAAACAAGGAGAATTTCAGTTGATTTTGAAAAAGATTTTAATTATTCAAAAACGGACATAAATTGATCTTATTTAAGAAGGGAACAGTCTGTCACAATTCAACTAATTCCCTCAAATTAATTACCAAGGGCATTATCCCTAGGGCCAACAAGCCATCGCAACAACTAGGTTTGATTATTCCATCTTTGGATCTTAACCCGAAAATAAAATTATAAGCCAATATAAATCAATTGAGAAAACTGTGGTAATTACTTGTCTAGAATAACCTTATTCAAAATGTGTAAAAAAAATACATTAAAAATAATAAGAAATCAATTACTAGCAATATTAAAAGAAAATAAATTTATTTAAAATATGTAAAAATATTTATCAACATTAATAAGAGATCAATTGATAAGGATTGCCCTCCCTCCATCTTCGTTGGTCGGGGTTTAATGAGGAGTGGTTTTATAAAATATCAATTGGTAAGCAATATTAAAAGGAAAAACAATGAAAATAAAATGAAAAAATGGCATGGCTTAAAAGTGTCCCACACATTCTTTGCAAATAATTCTCATTTTTGGAAAACAACATCCCAAAATTATGATTGCTAGTTTTCTTTTACACTTAAATTATATATATGTATATAAAACGATTTTTTATTGTCATTATCTTGTTTTTCTTTTTTCTTTAAACCAATAAAACATAAGTATTGTACAACACAACTTCTCAAATCAGGCCACTTAGTAACCTTGTAAAACACACAACACGCATTAAATGTCCATAATTTGATCCAATAGATTCAAAGCTGACAGTACAAAAAACAAACCATTCCCAAAAGCCATGTTAAAAGAGAGAGAATCAGTGACAGCTAGCTAGTCTGAGGCACAAGAAGATAAACTTCAGATAAGTCATGTCACTCACCGGCTCACCCCCAAACGAATCAAATAGAAGGTATTCATAACATCGATACAATCATGAAGGGGGAAGCACCAGGTGCAGGCCCAGAAAAGTAAGAAGGGATCCCCCTCTTAATAGCAGAACTTGTTATTGGATACTCACTTTGCTCTTAACTCTTCGGGTGTTATTGTGGTTCCCTCACCCCCAATATCAATTTAAATACCAAGTTTGCCAGCTCTTCAAAATCAAGATAATATCTTAATTTTTCAACATTTCATCTTATCTCTTGATTTTCAAATATTTATGATTCATAATGTGATTATCCAAATCCTCCATCAAATCTTTCCTTAATTTTCCATACAAATCCGTCTTATCCCTTTTTAAACACTTTGTCTATCTATCCATATGAATTATCTTTTTCTTCCTTCCTCTAGTATTTAATATTTATATATCTATTGTTTTGAATTATTGGGCCGTGTATATTTATTTTTTAGAAATGCCCTGTACAAAATTGGGTGCTGACAATGGCCTCATACTTCATCATTACTATAAGAAAAAATTCTTTAGCATATTATTATTTTCCAGTGTAATTTAATTCTATTAAACTAGTATGGAAGTACTTCCTTATGCATAAGGTACTTCACACATCATAAAATTAAAATGCATGTTCATCTCAAAAGTAGCTTAAAAGAGAAAAAATACTGACTTATGGGTCCTAGGTAAGCAAATTTTATAATGCTTTTAGATACATAACGAGTTCACATAGTATTGGTGATAAATTGCATCCCATATAAATCTTGTAAATAAGTTCTTCTTTTACTTAAATAGAAATTTCCAGCGGTACAATTTCATTGTTTTTTAACAATGGTAACTTATATGCATATAGAGAATGCTTTTATGAGTAATGCGTGCTTGCTGCAAATACATTATCAATTAAGTAGAAGGTGCAATGAAAAAATACCATGAGATCACGTTAACTAGGAAATTTTACAAAAACTTTTCTTTTGTAAGAGAATAAGCTCTAAATATTCTTGCCTTAGGTGTTGCTCGATCAACCACCACAGCAGAACCTCCCAGTTCATGGGTTTCTGTCATCAAATTCTCTACAGAATCTGCAAAACAAATATCTTCCTTACAGCAATTGATACATCATAAATCCTTTGCACTTTATTTCAAAAATTAAGACTACAAACCCAACAAAAAAAACCGAAAAGTAAAAACAAAACAAAAAGAACTTTTAACAGTTTTGTCATCATGTAAGCTTAGAACAGTTGCGTCAATTAGATTAGCTCAGAAAGCCATCCCAATATATCATAATTCATAGCTTGAAATGGTAAGAAAAAAAGTTATATATGAAACATACCAAATACAGAGAGAAAATCCTTATCTCCAATTCAAAGAACAATTTAACCAAGAATCTTATATTACAATTCTAAAAGCCAACAACAGGTCACATAAATATAAAGTTCAATCTCCATCTTAAATAAAGACATGTGTCTGTGCGTGTGAATCAATTAAAAATAGGATTCCAAACCCAATGAAAACAATTGCTGCAAGGTTGTGAAGCCCAATGATCAACCCCTTTTTATTAATTTATAGAGAGTAAAAAAAGCATATCACCCATGTCTCAGAATTAGGATTTCAAGCACTCTCAAAATTCCTCTTTTGCCATTGTTAATCAAGATCCTAGCTCACTATATAAATTAAATTTAAATTCAAGGATAATAAAGACCTGACAAATCCATACACTTATAATACACAAACAATTCTAGCATACAGGAAAATAAAGATGGTCCAACCTGCACTTGCAAAAGTGATAAAACCAATTCCACGATGCGCTTTTGATCCTTGATCCTGTTGGAAATAAATGATAAACAATCTATAAATAAAAGTCTCAAATAAATAAACATGTATATGCCATGCATAAATGTGCAGTCCAGTCCTATAACTACAAACGGCAATCAACAGTGTGTTATTTGTAAATGTACACAATACATATAAATGCATACCAAATGCATATTGATTTTACATGGATGACTATCAAAGGGAGGACAGTACCTTTGGCATGTATAAATCTGTTATCTCACCATATTTCTCAAAATGACTGTGAGGGGAAAGAAAGAAATAGTGTTAGACTAATGCATCCATTTCCTAAGCATTAGTCATAGATTCATTATAAGAGTACATCACCAAGGAAGAAAAGACTCCTGATTATTTCAACATGAAGATATCACACTCATATACCTTCTAAAAGTTGCTTCTGATACTGATGGTGGGATTCTGGCCACAAAGATTCTAGTAACTTTTTTGACTGGAGCCCTCATCTCCTCCTTTAAAATGAAAGCATTGGAAGAATCAGCAGTACAATCACACATCATCATTATCATATCTTATATAAGAAAACCAGTCATGAGCCAGACTAGAAGTAAATACACGTATTAAATTTTATGCATCACTTTGATTAAAACCTTTGGTGTGGCCACTTTGACTTCAAGCATCCTGTTACCAAGCATGTGTTCACTGGATAATACATTCTGCATCCAGAGAGTAATCGAACTTGAGATTAAGGATATACAAGTAACCAGCTATATGTGTTTGTGTGTGCGTAAAAAGCAGTTACCTTAGCATCCTCCACTGATGTAAATGTAACATATCCAAAACCACGAGACCGGCCAGTTGAACGTTCCTAAAATACAGATCAAAGTAGATTAAAATGTGCCTCCAGAACACTTAATAGTACATGGGCTTTAGCATTAGTAAAAAATCACTAATCAATGTTGCATAAGGAAATTATATTTCACATTCCAGGGGAAATTTCATAAAGCGTGACAACTAGATCAACACCAATATTAACACCAATAGTTATCAATTGCGGATTGCGGCCCGGCGCGGCCAACCCTAAAAAACATCAACATCACTCTTATCCCAAACTAGTTGGGGTTGGCGTCAGTGAATCCAAATAAAAAGCAAGAAAAGATTAAGGGAAAAGAAAAATAAAAGAGAGAAAAAAAAGTAAATAAGAAAGATAAGTAAAAAAAATAAATATATATATATATATGGAAAAAAGGACTAAAAAGTGTCGTATGGAACATAAGGGAAAAAAAGGGGACAACCCTTCCACAACACTAATAGCTTTGCTCTACTCCATCCTAAGAGACACCATACGTTAATCTATTTTCCACTCAATTAAGTCTTGAAAGCATAACAACTAGATTTTTTTCTTTTCTTTTCTCTTCTTTCTTCCTTTCATCTTATTCTTTGTGTGTGATGCACCAAGGTTAAACATGTTACTTTTTCTGCACAAACTTCGTGTAAATACACTTGAATGATGAAGCATGAGGAATGTAATGGCAAATTAGCAATACTTAACAAATTTAGTATGACAGTAGACAATCATGAATTAAACATGTAATGGCAATAATAAACAGAAAAATGGAAAGAAAGAGCTAACCCTCATAACAATACAATCTTCCAGATCACCAAACTTGCTCATATATTCTTTCAAGCCTTCGGTATCAACGTCCCACGGGATGCCCAAAACCTAAAGATGCAATTTTAGGAGCACAGTTAGTTAAATTGATATTTAAAAAAATAAATACAAAAACTGAAAACAAGAGTAACTTAACAACCAAAAACAAAAAGAAGCTAAAATATAGATTACTGCAATTGAAAGGAAAATTAACATATACGTAAAGGAATAAAAGGTAAATAAACAGAACTGAATGTGCATGACTAACCACAAGCTTTCGCTGCTCCATTGGAAACTTCAATAAGGCTCAATGCAAAGGAATCGAAAGCCGTAGAGGATGAAATCCCTAAAACTTCAAAATAAAATAAAAAAACAAATAAACTCTCTCCACCTCCTCTTTGGGTATCTCTCAGGTCTCAGCACAGCACTCAGCGTTCTCACCCCTCTCTCTCTAAATCTCTCACACTCGCCCCCTGCACATGACAAAAACACTTCTTTCTCACACACAATTTTCGTCGTCATTATCATCATCATCAACAACATTTACCAGATGAAAATTCAGCTTTTTTGGGGCTTCAAGTTCAACTGCGATCCAGTTACAGCTCAAAGAACAAAAATTAAACGAAAAAAAAAAAGAAAAAGAAAAAAACGACAGAGAGAAAATGAAAAATGAATTGCAAGAAATTCAGTGGATTACGCGCTCACTGACCTTAATACATCAGGGAATATCAAAACCCTAAATCGCAGATCATGCTCGCTCATCCTATGTCTCTCCCTCTCTCGCTCCGCACCTTCCCGTGTCTCAAGCCTTGTACCCAAACACCATACATACCCTGGATTCGGAATCGTGAAATTCAATTTAGTTTGGGGGATCCTACGGAGCATGGACCGGACCGCCACTGATCGGCTTAGTAATGAACCGGATTTTTCTTTTTTTGTATACAGCTCGGCAAACTATTAATTTACATACATATTTTAATTAACATGGTGGAGTATAATCATACAAGAGTGAATTAATTATCTATTATAATATATATTTTATTATTATTAATTTATTTTTATATATTATGATTTTTTAACATGATTAAATAAAATATGAGAGCATCCATTTCTATAAATTTACACAAATTTGCCTTTAACTTTTATGGTTATATTAGTAGGGGAAGAATATTGTAACAACTAACAACCAACTAGTGTTACTAATGTTACTATCAATCAATTTCACTGTTAGATCGACCATGTTGATCCAACGGTTATATTTAATTTCATCTTTGTGTGATTATGATTTTTCATATTTAATACTTTATATTTATTTTTACCTTTGTATGGTTATGATTTCCCATATTTAATGCTTTCACATTAAATATGAGAAATCATAACCATATAAAGATGAAAATAAATATAACCGTTGGATCAACATAATCGATCTAACGGTGAAATTGATTGACTTAGTAATATTGATAGTCACACTAATTGATTATTATAATATCCTGCCCCATATTAGCATTCCTAATTTGTAATTGTTTGTTTCATCTTCATTTTGTTTATGAATGCTTTGCATTCTATTTTGTGATTTGGTTTTTAATCAGTCTTATTATTTTTTTGACTATAAGTATTTTAATTTTTTTTAAATTCCCTTGTAAATATAATGAGGATTAAGTTGTTTATTATTGTTTTTATATGTGGGGAAAATTAAATATGGAAAATATTAGACATTTTAAATGACATAAAATAAAACAATACATTTTAAATGACATAAAATAAAACAATAATGTTTTATGCATATTTAATGGTTTTTTAATTTCTCTCTCCAAAATTAGAAAGGAGAGAGAAAGAGGGTGTTGTGAAGAAAAGAAAATGTAAAAAAATTACCAAAACACCCGTTCACTTAAAATAACACATAAAGTTAGGCCAAAAAAATTAAAATATTACTATTTTAATAAATAATTACGAATAAATTGGTATTTTGAATATAATTACGAATATGTTGCATTCATTCATGTCTAAATCGGGCAAGAAGATTCACGCCCAAAGAAGGCGTGAATGCCACGTAATTCCCGCGTAAGTTAGGCGTGAATGCATGGGTTATCTAGGCCAATTTGAGAGTGACTCACACCTCTATCCTGCCTATTTTAGCTACATCATAAACTCTTACTCTTTGATACAATCTCACTTGCTTATGCATACTCTGTTTTGTGTTTTTTGTTTATATATTTAAGAATGAGTTCACATTCTAATTATGTTGGTGTTGTTCTATATTATAATGGTAGAAAAGTGGAAGGTCGACGTGGTGTAGTTTATGAAGGCGAGAAAAGGCCAACGTGTATCATGCACAACTCAACAGTTAGAGAACTATATTAGAAAATTCATCAAAAACTAGCTCATGAAGGTAAGCAATCTATCAATCTGGTCACTGCCAGAATGTGGTGTGAATTCTTATGCAAGTTGTGGATAATGAAGACGTAGAAATGGTAATAGGAGAATTCTTCAACTAGTCAAGGAAAGATTGTTTAGAGTTGTACATGGATATTGCTGAAGCAGATGATGTTGTTTTACCCATGAGGTCAGTTGATTTCAATTCTGTACATAATGCATCATCATCTGCTGCTCCAGTTGTTAATCTGTCTGTGGAAGATGAAAATGACCCTACCTGGGTTATGGATGACGATTGTGATGATGACGATGATGAAAATATCACAATGGAAGATTGTCTTCTTGCTAAGGATGTTGGTGCTTCGGACAATGATGAGGAACGTGGTATACCCGAAACTCAAATCCTATAATATAATGTTGTGGGGGAGTCTCATGTTCCGAAACATCATGACATCACATCCATTCAATTACCGCAAATTTCTAAAGGTGTGTTAGTAAACAATACAAATATACATAAGTCTACATAATTTTTTTTACTAGTATTATTTTGTACATGTAGGTGATGATGTTCCTCCTTTTTAGAATAGAATTCCACATTACACATACATTGATTGGGATCATCTAAGGGAACAAGATTCTTATAACGAGGGTTCAGGTTTAATTAATGGTCCATAGGTAATAGGTAATAAGTTCCATGTTAAACAAGAATTTGCATAAAAAAAGAGGGGCAGATGGCAATCAAGAGAAATCTAATGAAGGAGCATCAAGAAGCGATTGTGCTTGAGAGTACGCCTACAAAGTTAAGTGTGAAATGTTGTGCGCATGAGCAGGTTGCCCATGGATGGTTATGGTAATAAAACCGACATACAGTGAAAATTGGATGGTTACTAAATGGGACGAAGACCACAATTGCTTGAATGACCACATTTCTTAGGGTCATAGATAGCTTGATGCTGATGTTATTGCTTCACTCATACTAGTAAGTTATTGAATTATTTTGTCATTATTTTGTGATTAATAGTATTGTCATTTGTCTTAATGTGTAGCTACAATATGATTGTTACGAATGATAAAAGAGGAACCATCAATCTCAATCGCACTGGTTCAGGAGAGAATTACCCATGCATATGTGATGTGCCTCTGGCATGTGATGTTTTCCAAGCAAAAAATAATAAGAAATCAGTCATAAAAGAACATTTCTTGTATATTAATTACTTTTATTAGTTAGTTTTCCTATTTCAGTTTATTTTTCATCTTTTATATCATTTTTGCAGGTTAAAGCAAGAAGAAATAGGAAAATTGAGAAAAATTGAAAAAGGAAAGTGGCGCTACCCGCGCCACTTTGGCGCTGTTGCAGCGCCGGAAGCAGTGCAAAGATCAGGAAGTTGGCGCGGGAGCCGCACGAGAAACCAACAAAGGCTAAGATGTAGGCGCTAGACCCGCGCCAGAATGGCGCTACCCGCGCGGATTTTAGCGTGGAGGCAATTTCGAACTTAAAAGGACGTTGCGAGGGTTCTTTAGGTTACTTTTTGACGACAGAGTAGAACAAGGATTCGTGAGGAAGAGAAGAGCAGAGGATCATTCTCTGTTCCTCCTAGTAATTTTATTTTAAATTCTATTTTATAATTTTATATCAGCCATGTCTATGGCTGGCTAATTTCTTTTATTGTAGTTAGGGTCACAAACCTATGTGAACCCTTTTTACGTTGGATTGATTATTTTCGCTCGTTTATTTTAATATATTTTATTTTTACCCTGTGCATATTGATATTATTTTTGTTAGACTTGATCAACCTAATAGGAGATAATAATTCGGGAATTAGGGCTCGCAATAGGAATATTGGGGTTTTTGATTCTAAAAGGGGGTAAGGTAACAATTTATGCATGCTCTAGGGATAGACTTGTATGAGTTGCAGTCATTTGATTTATCGTGATTAATGCTTAATTTCATGCAGGGTTGCTAAGGAATTAGGATTCCAATTGAATTAAAGGGTTAGATTGTCAAGGGATTTGGATTTGACTAATTATTTGAGATGATAATTTGTCTGAGTTATTAAATTGAATGAACGTTGTCAATCAATCCAAAGTTTAAAGTGGAGATCATATGGTGCGTGTACCTTAGTTGCAATGCTTTTTATTATTCTCTAAAAAAATTCAAAGTTGACCATTGCTATTTAAATTGAAATTTTATATTTTAAATTTATGTCTTTATTTTACCATCAATTCACTATTTTCCAAAAACAATTGAGTTTTCCAACTTAAGGGGACTGGTTATTGTGGTACTTGGTTTACAATCCCTGTGGAGACGATACTCTACTTACTCATTATATTACTTGTGCGATCGGTATACTTGCCGGTGAGCATCAAGTTTTTGGCGCCGTTGCCGGGGATTGTTAATTCCAATATTATAAATAATCGTTGATCTTTGAGATTGGATTTTTATTTTTATTTTTATTTTTGTTCTATCTTGTTCTGTGTTTTGCAGGTGCTACTAACCATTTTTTTCTGAGTTTATGCGAGGTAGACTTGCTCCTACAGACTTTGTGATTGATCCTAAAATTGCAAGGACTGAGAGGAGACTGAGGAAAGTTGCCAAGCAGATAATTTGGGAAGAATTCAAGAACGTACCTGTACAACCAATACAAGAGATGGCAGAAAACAACAATGCTGGTGGCAGAGGCCATAATGCAAATAACCTACCTCCAAGATTGTTGGACACCATTCTGACTCCGGTGTTCAATAGGCCAAATTCAAGTATACTCAGACCGACGGTGGAGGCAAATAATTTTGAGCTGAAGCCATCTTTAATTACTTTGGTGGAGAGGGCTCAGTTTTCTGGTGCTGAGGATGAAGACCCTCATGAGTTCATAGATCGATTTCTGATTATCTATGATACTACTAAGCACAATGGAGTGTCTGCCGATGCTATCAGGCTTCGATTATTCCCTTTTGCTGTTAAGGGAAGGGCTCTCAGATGGATAGAAAGGCAGCCAACTAATAGTATCATGACATGGGAAGACTTGTCAACAAAGTTCTTTGCCGAGTTCTTTTCTATGGAGAAGTACAACCAGCTGGTGAATGAGATCACCAACTTTCGCCAACTTGAAGGAGAATCATTGTGTGCAACCTGGAATAGATTCCAAGAACTTATCAGAAAGTGTTCGCACTATAAGGGAGACGATGATAGAAATGTGGTGATCTTCTTTAATGGCATCTCTCCTGAAACAAGGTTGGTGATTAATAGTGCAGCTGGAGGTTCTATTCGGCAGAGTACATCTGAGCAAACTCTGGACTTGATAAAGAAACTGGCGAGAAATGAGAATGAGAGCTTCCCAGTTCAAGCAAGAAAAGGAGTGATAAAGTTGGAGAGCAATTATGCTATGCTTGCTGAACAAAAGCTGTTGTCCAAGAAGCTTGATAGTCTGAATGAAAAGTTTGAGAAACTGCAAGTGTCC